AGAACCGGGGTTGAAATACAGGCTGGGATGAGGTTGATTACTGGCAGGTGTGGCAGGCTGACGAGGTAGCTGATGAGGTGCAGGTGTAGGTAGTTGGCTGGGCTCAGGAGCCGAGGGAGAGAAAAGGAGAACACAGGGAGGCAGGCAGAGCAAAACAATGGGTGAAATAAAGTGAGAAAAAAAAAGTAAAACCAGGACACTCACCGTCAGCTGGGCTGTCCCCACAACACCCTTCTTAAAAAGGCCACTCTTTGATCCAGGGGTTTTAGCCAACTATAGACCTTTATCTAACCTTCTCTTTCTCTCTAAGATCCTTGAGAAAGCAGTTACCAAACAGTTGTGTAATGTTCTACATAAGTTTATTTGAGACTGTTCAGTCTGATTTTGAGTGCAGCAGAGACAGCACTGCTGAAAATGGACCTTCTATTTGTATCAGATAAAGGACTTGTCTCTGTACTTGTCTTGTTAATTCTTAGTGCTGCATTTGACACCAGTGAGCATCGTATTACCTATTACAGAAGCTTGAACTTGGAATTGGCATTAAAGAACTGGCTTAAAGTCCAGTTTATCAGGTCAATCACTGGGCCTGATTACAACTCTCAAGTTAAATCAAAACTGTTATTTTTACATTCAATGACTTGATTTTTTAAATTATATAACACAGAATAATAATCAATAATAATATTCAGGTATGACAATAAGCCTACTTTATTTCTGATCAGGAGCGGTAAAGGACCTGGATAATGGATAGTGGTTTGCTGACCCAGAAAGTGCTTGCATTGGTCCATGTTTCAGATTTGACGGGGTTGGCAACATTTTTTTAAATTATTGAAGGAAATTTTGGTATGACACAGAATTTGGTGAAATGCCTCAGTAACTGCATAAACTGGAGCTCTTCCCTGCTCCCCTTTGTCAGGAATCTCACAGCTAATACGTCTATGTGACTGCTGGGAGGTTTAGATGCATAACCTCTATTTAGAGTACAGTCTCAACCTTTTTGTCTTGTGAGTGTTATTAAAATGCAATTTCTACAGGGACATTCAAGTACGTGTATTAGCAAGTAATTTGCACATAACGATAAATGCTAAAATTGCTAAAACAAGTTTTCCCTTCTTAGTTACTGTAATGCGTAGTGCTCAGTGTCAGTTCTCTATGTCCAGGATGTTATCTCACTCCTTCCCCCTTTCATCTGTGCGTTAATTATCCCATACATCAACACCAGACCCTGTGCATATGCAGTCCAAGGGCCCATTCTCTTTCTTATGCATGTACAAATCAGAAGAAAAAGGATGCTGCTTAATTCATCAGCAAGCAAAGCCAAAATAAGATAAGCTGTTATGTGCCATGGTTCAATCAATATATCCGTATTAAATATTCTAAAACAGGTGCTAGCTAGTTGTGTTCATTCACCTGTCTTATGAAAGGATTGTCAACCTGTGATAATTACTGAAGTATCTGTCTGGAACATGAGAGTGATAATTCAGTCTGCAACATTTTAATGCACTTACTGTACTATTGAAAGAGCTTAGTGTGCAGAACAAATGCTGTAGTTATTACACAACACATTGCGTGTATAACCCAACACACATAATTAAACATTCAATGTCAACGCTGCAGTCTGGGTCTGGAGTTTTTTCACTGCCTATTTTGTGTGCTCAGTGCAGAATGGTCACTTTCTGTTCTTGAATCTGTAACCACATCTTCATAATTGATACTGTATGTACATCTCTGCAAACCCGAAAAGATATTAGTCAACGTCTATCCTTCCAAATTAAGATTTCCTTCCTATCATCCTGTTAATGTCACTGAAGGACCAACAACCTCCATAGACTGTTGTGATTTAAAAACCCCTGATTTGAACTGTACAATGCTCTGTGATCAGGAAAGCCACCCTGATAGAGGATCCCTCTAGCCCTCAAATTGATCTGAAAGATCCACATTCCCATAACAGCACCTACATACAAACACCAAGAGCTGAAATCAACTTAGGCATCTTTATATAACCTCCTTTACCATCCACCTAACACAATACAATTTTGTGCAAGCATTAGGTTTTCTGTTTGACTCTTGTCTTCCATATTTGCTCCTTCATATTTGCAACGGTGTATGCAAGGAGCTGTATGCAGCTGACACATGCATGCTTACACATTAGCTACATAGCATAGTCTCGTCATTGTTTATCACAGGCAAAAATGTAACTCAGGAAGTTCACATTTCTTTTCAACTCAATCTCTCCCAAAGTTAACACTACATTAGCTACTTCACTCAATATATTAACAAAATTATATAGCTTGTGTCCCTAAGTAGGTGGCAAATAGTTGGCAAGCAACTGAAACTAGTGCCCTGAAACATACAGTATTTACACACAGGTAGCTAATTTAATATGTATAGCTAATATTTGCTAAATAATGGTTTACACCAATAAAAGTTAGGATGTTGGATATGGAAATAAATCCGGCAATGCACAGGCAATTTAGTGATACCCCACACACATAACTACCGCCAGTGCAGGCGGTGCCAGGGCCCAGAAGCAGGTGTGTTCACCGTAGGTGTCACGATCGGTGGTGTGGAGCAGGGTGGAGCAGGGTGGAGCAGGTTGGAGGACCCAAAAGCAGGACACAGAGCGGAGCAGGTATGGTTCAGTGGTTTAATAAACAAACAAAAGGCGAGCACACTTACAAACTGAGTGGCTGCTGACAGAATCCCAAAACAAAGGCTGTCCAACAGAAATCCAAAAGGGTGAAAACCAGAATCCAAAAACTGAGCAGGGTAACAATGAGACACGGCGAGTAAGGCTGAAGACACGAGAACAAACTGCCACACTGGGTGACAACATACAATGACCCGACAAAGACAAGACAGAAACACCAGGTATATATATACACACACAGGGACTAACGAGCAGGGCGGGAGCAACACAGGTGAAAGACATGAGGCTAATGAGACACAGGCAGGGAGAGAGAGAGCGAGTGTGGGGGAAAACAGAGACAGAAATGCAGAGTGTGACAGTAGGCCTTGTTTGCAACATTGATTAAAATGCACACCAGACTACAAGACCTCACTTCACTATTAATCTATAATCAGAATGATTGCTATTTCAAGGATGTCTCTGTACATTGCTGCATTTGTCTTTCCCTCAATCCTGACTAGTCTCTCAGTTCCTGCCGCTGACAAACATCCCCACTGCATGATGCTGCCACCACCATGCTTCACATAGTGATGGTATTTGCCAGGTGATGAGCGGTGCCTGGTTCCCTTCAGACATGACGCTTGCCATTCAGGCGAAAGAGTTCAATCTTTGTTTCATTAGACCAGAGAATTTTGTTTCTCATGGTCTGAGAGTTCGTCCGGTGCCTTTTGGCAAACTCCAGGCGGGCTAACATGTGCCTTTTACTGAGGAGTGGCTTCCGTCTGGACACTCTACCTTACAGGCTTGATTGATGGAGTGCTACAGAGATGGTTGTTCTTCTGGAAGGTTCTTCTCTCTCTTAACAGACACATGCTGGAGCCTTGTCAGAGTCACCATAAGGTTCTTGTTCACCTCCCTGACTAAGGCCCTTCTCCCTTGATTGCTCAGTTTGGCCGGGAGGCGAGCTCTAGGAAGAGTCCTGGTAGTTCCAAACTTCTTCCATTTATGGAGTTATATAACTAAAGTTCAGGAACAGGACCACGCCTCTCTCTTACTAATTCGACCACCTGCGCCTCATTCAATTCCTCCGGTCCAACCACCCGTGCTTCACTCATTTCAATCACCAGCACATATGTATATAAACCTGCCTAATCCTTTCTCTCCCGTTTCTTAGTTCTCACATTCCTTCCCCCCAAACACTGTTTTCTCACCTCTTATAATGGTAGCAACATGAACTCGCCCCACAAGGGACGGCTTGGATCAGCCAAGATTGTTCTCACTTTCTTTAAGGACATGACCAAGTAGTAGTCATGAGGTCATTCTAGGGTGGATGAGCAATTTGTTGCACACCTTCACAATAGCTTGCAGGCGATTTTTCTGTTTAACAGAAAGTGACCCGTGCCAGCAGATAAAGAAGATGATAAGAACCGATTCAATAAAACGGGAGTAAAACAGAATCATCCCTGAATTTACCAATGTGGTCCCCTATGTGGTGGCTTTGGCATTTGTCTTTGACTTCTCCAAAACATAGAAATACATACAACCATGACACCACAGTTATCACACATAAAGAATGTAACACAGTATCACCATTAAACATCCAACAACAATTGTGCCAGCCAGTGAAAATGATGTAGGTTACAGCCTACAAGGAAACCCATTTAAAATTAAATTAGACACATTGCGTTTATAACACAAACTGTAGAATGAATCGTTCATTTAAATGCTGTCTGGATATTTTGTGTGTTCAGTGCAGAATAGTAACTTTCTGTTCCTGAATCTGTAACCACATCTTCAGAATAGATGAAGAATAGATGTACATCTCTGCAAACCCACAATCCAAAGGCAGGTGTTAGTCACTGCTTCCCTTCCACATTTGGATTCCCTTCCCATCATCCAGTTACATCACTGAGGGACCAACAACCTCCAGCCTCCATAGACTGTCTGCTGTATCTGAACGAGCAGTAAAAAAACATCTATTTATCTCAGGTTGAGATAAACGGGCACCTTAGGTATCTCTGAGTATCAGAGGGCAACACTTGTTTCTGATTATACACTTCTAAATAGGGAGATCTAAAATTATGTTTTGTCACCAGTATAAACAAAATCGATTTACTTTGCCAAAACAGTTATAAATACATGAATTCCACAATCACTATATTAATTTGGTATTAAGTAATCTGTTTCTGTCTCTATTGGGATTTGGGGAATATGGGATCTCTCTAACCCTAATCCACTCCACTAGACTGGGCATTTCCACAAGTAATTTCACAATAAGAAAAAAGGTCCTGGAACAATTCCCTCCCTCCAAGGAGGAAGTAATTATATTCTGATGAAAACATCAGGCACACAACACATATGCACTTTCACTCACTCACATGCAGAGGTTAGTGGGAGTGTTCAAAGGCTGGACAGACAGTCATATTCAAACTGAGTTCAGGGACTGTTTCATTTAGTGCTGCTCTCTGATCGACCATGAAGCTGTATGTGATCCTTTTACTGTGTGCTCTGTTCACCATCATCCAACAGGTATGAAAGCCCCGAGAATACAGTGATTATTATTACTTTTGTAAAATTACTTTCATCTCCTTAAATTTTATGACAAATGTCCATTTCAAATGTAGAAATATTTAAATGTGGTATTTTGTATTATTTTTACATTCCATGTTTGATATTCTTGATTTCAGGCATCTTCACAAAATAAGTGTACATGTGAGTTGACTAATTCAGAGAAGGCATTCCCTCATGACAAACTCAGCACAGTGGAGGGCAATGCATCAAAATGCAACAGCAACATCACCCCACAGAAGGTAACTAGTTAATGTTATTTTCTAAACCAGACTGTAAAGAACACAAACTCAACAGCTGTAAAACAGACTCCTGTATGTGTGAACACAGAGTCTACCTGCTCTCTCTGCAGACTCTGGAGCTGGAGAGTCTGCTGCTGGGTTTGGAGCGACGTCTGCCCCAGCTGCAGGAAGATGTGTCGATGCTGGAGAGGGAGGATGACGGAGACCTCTACGCAGTTCTCAGCCTGTATGTGATAGAGAATGAACTGATGGAGATCAAGCAGCTCATTGACAGGCTCAACAGCACCACCAAGGCACACCAGGGTCTGACTGCTGACACCACTGAACAGGTAGACTCACAAAGCACCAGCTGTTCAACACTGACACCATTCAAGAAGGCAGCGCCTGTGCGCAAGTCTGCTCAAAATGTATATTATTTACGGTATATATAGCAAAAAAAACCCCAACAACATGAAAATATCTAGTATAATAAAAAAGGAGCACTAAGACTTCTTCTGCACTGTACAATGAAATGTGCAAATCTGCAGAAGTTATGACCATGCAATCTACTAAAATGTCTGGCTTTAAGTAATTTCTTCCTGTACACTGTTATTGGAAATCTTCACCTATTACATTTTCACAGTAAGACACTAAAGAAAGAAAGTTTCTGTTGATACTGTTGCAATGCACTCATTACTTTAAAAGAGTACTCCAGCAATTTAGCATTTCACCATTACAACATTGTCTGACTCATAATGGAAAGTTTTTTTATATAGAAATATGTGCAGCTGAACCACAGATATAGTTTCTTATATTTCAATCATTCTTCATTCATGTCAAAACCTGGTACCAGCATTATCCACAATGCACCTCTAACTGCCAAAAGTTCAGAAAGGTCAGAAAATTCAAGTGCGTTGTGCTGGTAGGGGCTACCTCAAGCCGCTTATATAGCACTATTCAAAAGCAGCAGCGTCCTAAAGTGAATGTGAGTGAGTGATGAAATAAGAGGTCTACAAAGGTCTGGCAAGATCACTTGTCACACACCACCATATTTTTTTAATTTCAAGCGTCTTAAGCCCCACTGATTTAATTGACATCACTTGAGGCATTTTATCACATTTCATGCAGCTCCCTTTGGAGCCACAAAAAACTTTTTACACATATGAAGTAATAATGCCTTAATCCTGTAAACAGACAAAATTGGTGCAGTTTCATAGTTGACTGTAGTGTTAATTGTGTCAGCCATTTTAAAAGTTATTCTTAGTCTTAGTCCTGTGTCAAATGTCCTTGTTAGTTTTTGTCATATTTAGTCCACTGTATACAATTTTATTAATCAAGTTTTAGTTGACTAAAAGTCTGGGTGTTTGATTTTAGTCAAAAGAAAATCAAAAGTATTTTAGTCTAGTTTTACTCATTAATCATCATTTAAGTCTTTTCTAACTCATTAGTATAATTTTGATTAGCATTTTGGTCAATCTGCTCTGACCAAAACAGAGATGTATCCTTTTAGTCTTTATTTCACTCATCTCACATATAGATAAAATGTTTTATAACATTTGAATGTTAGCTTTGTTCTCTTTTTTTATTGCAAAGGTGACGTTACTCAATTCCCGGTGGCTAGCCTTGGTATGCCACTTCAAGTTTGTAGTGTTTTTCAACAAATCTTAAAACCACATTGCCTGCCGCCTCACTGTATTTGAAATGGGACCAAATATCTAAGCGTCTCTTTCTCCCTAGCATGTTGTGTTCATCACCAGTTTATCAGTTTATGTAATATGAAAGGTGTTGCTTGTAGTGACAAACCCCCAAAGCTTTATTACCTGACCTAATAGTTCCCCTCAGCTTCATCGAGATTTTTAGCATCTTTCGGCTCATTGTTTTAGTTGTGCTGGATATGTAAGGTAAATAGAGGCTGTTTGCTAGCATATATAGCCATATCAACTTTTTGAAGTGATGTTATGTCACTGTTGTGTTGACAGTCTGTAGCACTGCCTCCAAGTGGCCAAATTCAATTAATGAAGGTTTAAAGGCACTGCATGATTGAAAATGTCTTCCTGTGCTGCCATCTGGTCTTGAATAAGGACACTGACAGACAGTAATGTTTTTATTTTCATCCTTTTTTAATCACACCAAAATTGCTAGTACTCCCCTGATTTACATGTTGGCATGTGTATCGGCTACACTTTATTTGGATAGTCTGGCTACAAATAGTTATAAGGTATTTGTAACATTTCAACAGCTTATCAGTTGAGATTCAACAATGCGACAGTTTCACAAATAAAAGTGTTTTCTGAGATCACAACAATACGGTTTTTTGTTTGGTTAGGTTAAGGCACAAAAAACACCGTGGTTAAGGCTGATGTTACTATATTCATTATAATTTCATAAAATAGTGTGTATGTATATATATATATATAGCATACCACTACTTTAATAATAATTCCATTTGGACACTGCAGCATTTTAACAAATACATAACCAACATTTACAATTGTTGTAGGTTTTGTTGAAATTGGCTCTCAGATGGAGCTGGCTATTATTGTTCACATAACCGATATATCAAAGGACAAAAGAACTGAAGGCCCCCAACTGTAGGGCAATTATGTCATTAGGCCGGGAGACTGTTGTTTCCTTGTATTCTCTACGAGATCCCAGCATACTTTCTATTCTCTCTGCTCTGTCTCCACCAACAGAGAAAAGCCGAACAGGTGAGTGTGAAGTACCACCTGGGTAATGCAGTGTTTTAGGGCCATATGAATCGCCTAGATAATATGGAGAGGTCAGAAAATTGTACTGGCTGTTTGTGATAAGTGCTGGTGTGCAAGCAGATCATGGTACACCAAAGGGTATAATGTAGAAGTGCCAGTACTGCATACCGGTGAGTGCTGGCCCACTTCAAGCCATGATTCAAGGACAATCATTTTTGTTAATATACAGACAGTATATATAGTCTCTGTTGACTAAATATTGGGATGTCTGTTCCTGCTGTTCTTTCTAAGCTGAAGAACCTGAGAGCAGAGATGCAGAAGCTGGAGACATACGACACCATGCAGGTGGTGAAAGGACAACGAGACAACAAGCATCTGAACAGCGAACTACAAAGGTGCAAAAATGGACCTCTCCCCACCACCCAACCCACTCAACCTCTACATGGTATGTCCCCAAAACCCCACCAGATATTTCACTTCTCTGCCACTTCCACTGATCATTCTGGTTATGTAGCAAAAACGTTTTTCAGCATAGTTCACTTGTCATTAACCAACATGAGCTGAATGGACTTCCTGATCTCGTTTGTAATCATAATGAGTTGCTTGATATTTTACCTAAACAAACTCAGATGTGACCAGACCCTAACCTCCAGCAAATTTACACCCAACATCCCAAGGTAAATGTCCCCACGGTCAATTTCGGAACATTACTGGCCCGAGGGTGTACACAGCAGGAGAGTACCCTGGCTCCTATGCTTATGGAGCCTGGGGTCGGGATCCCAAACCAGCGGTGGGAAAGGAGAGCTGGTATTGGCTGGTAATGATGACCTCCAGCAACAGATACGCCAACTACATCCGTCTCTACTCTAGCCTGAGCTCTCTCATTGTTGGGGTGAGCGCCCCAGGTAAAGAACTCTTGTTCTACTTCGAGTGTTGATGTTAGAAATCAGCTCAGTGAGCATGCACATGTTAAATAACACTAGTTGACAACAATCCATATTTTTATGTTAACCATGGATCTAAGAAGTTTATGTAATATGAAAGGTGTTGCTTGTAGTGACAAACCCTCAAAGCTTTATTACCTGACCTAATAGTTCCCCTCAGCTTAATCAAGATTTTTTGCAAGGAGGAAAAGCTTTTCTAATAAATTAAAGTAATTGGCTCACTGAACCTGGACATTAAATGGTCTTTAACCCAGAAACATATGCTGTAGGAAGGTAAACTAGTTGAGTAGACTTCTATTGATTGTTTTCTTTGATATTAACAAATGATGAAATACTTACTCATGATGACGTTTGCGCCTCCTTCTCATGCTTCTTCTTGTTCTTCTTCCAGGTAATGTCCAGATCCACTCCTCTAACCCAACCACCAACACTATCCAGGGTCCAAATGTTGTGCTGTATGGAGAGGCCTTGTACTACAACTGTTACAACCAAGATGCTGTTTGTCGATTCAACCTCACCACCAAAACTATCACCACTTTACAACTACCCAAAGGCACCAGGTTCGCTGATCAAATCAGTCTTTAAGATTATTATTTGAATGATGTTGCTGATGTCAGAATTAATGCCTCGTTTCTACTGAAAATAAAAAAATGTCATGTTATCTTTCACATTTGTGCATAATGAGTCCATGAAACTAAGATGCTGATACATTGTTTTCCAAGTTCTCATTTCTAAAAAGGAAACATCACTTCTGTCGTCTGTTTTGTTTTAAGGTTTAACTCAAAGGGTAACTTCTGCCACCTTGAGGAATGCTACCCGTTCACCGACCTGGACCTGGCAACAGATGAGTCAGGTGTTTGGGTGATCTATACCACCAACCAGGACTATGGCAACCTGGTGCTGTCCAAGGTGGAGGAGGATGAACCACTGACTCTTGGCCAGACCTGGCACACCTCGGTCTACAAGCAGGGGGTGACCAACACCTTCATGGCCTGTGGCGTGCTCTACGCAACACGGTATGTCAACAAAACCATGGAGGAGATCTTCTATGCATTTGACACCACGACGGGGGTAGAAAGGTTCAACGTTGGAGTTTTCATCAAAAAGATGACTCCCAACATTTATTCCCTGAACTACAGCCCTGTGGACCAGATGCTACATGTCTACTGTAACTCCTACATGGTCTCCTATAAGGTCTTGTTTTGGTAGGGACATGTCTCTACCAATATTCAGCGACTACTGAGTTGTCTTTAGCAATAACTGTGATTAAAAACATGTAAATATAACCACTGTTGTCCGTCAGTGTCTGGTCAATGTATTAGGAACACGCAGGGTTAACAGATCTCATTCTCTACTACGAGTCCACTGCGTTTTGGTTCACAGGTATTTTGTCTTTAGCCATTGGTCTTTTTTTGTGCCAAAATATTCAATATGAATTATGAGCTCATACAACTGAATCTTTTGTGCCCCCTCACACACGCCGGTAACTGACACACAGTTTTCATTGCAGTCTGACTGTTTTGATAGACTTAGCAACTTTTCAGACCCTCTTATCTACTTTATTTGTAAAAAGTATCTAGCAACAATCATGTGAGTTATTCAGATCATCAGGGAGAGTGATGAAATATACACATATCTATTAGATTGTAATTAATTCCCCTGCATGCTGCTCAGAAAAATGTCAATCAGCGGCTCTTCTGGCAGCAGCACAGTGTCTCTCCCTCTCCTCTCGCACCGTGCACACGCAGGCAGAATTGAGAGTGAGTTATGCTATGGTTATGGCGATATTGTTTGTCTCTCGCTCTGAATTTTTGTGGCATCACAGGAGGAGAACAAGGTCTAGTCGCAGCAGACTTTGTAGTGATGAGAAAATTGTTTCATTCACATGCTACTAGAGCGAACAGATTCATGAACAACTTTCAAATGAGAGAGATGCCATTCCTGCCAAAACCGATCAACATTATAAAACAACATTTTAATATAGCAAATATATTTTGACTACTATTTTACTGTTTTTAATATAGAACTGTAATTCTTGTAGATTACAATTGTTAAGCTTGTATCTTACAATAATTAGCTGTTAGCGCTTTCCGCAAGTGCATTCGATTTCATTTACCATTTAAAAAACGTCTCAGAATAATGGACAGCTTCAGAAAGGGAGGGAGAGAACACCCAGTGTTCTGAAATAAGAGATGTATTATCCTCCATTACACATCCTCCATTACACAAATGAGAGGTAACTTCTCAACATCTTGTGAAAAAAAACAACAAAATTAAGCTCTTCGCTGCAAGAGTCAGGCACTTCCAAAAAACCCAAAACAAAAATAATTTGTGTGTTGTTGGTTTTTTTTTACATAGAAACAACTATTTGTCTTGAAAAGGCAACTGATATACACATTTTCACCAGGGGCAGAAGCAGCTGTAAACATCAGGGCTTAGCCCAAATCAAGGGGGGTCGGGGGAATTATTTTTTTCCACATGTGCAGTATTATTTTTTTAAGACGTTTGAGATAAAAGAACACATCTATGCTTCATTTTGGTAAAACATGATAGTTGCCCAGGGAAAAAGTCATCACAACAAATGTTGAGGATGACTAATTTTCATTCCTGCCACCTAAAATGAGGATATGGGTTTGGTTGGATGTTACTATTTTTGAGTTTCGTTAACATGTGGAAAGGTAGGGATGCTCTGATAGCAGGGGTCCCCAACAGTGCCAAGTAAATGTTGAATGAACACAGTGACATCTGGTGGCATGTAAAACTTATAGCAGCCTTTCAAGACTGGGGTCAAAGCGCCACTACACCTCACTGATATTGCAAGTTTTATGTGCATTTAACATTACATTGGCATTTACCAATTTAGCTGATGCTTTTCTTTTGATCAGCTCCCAGTCTGTGAGTGGCAGATTCTCCTCCCTCACTACAGTGGGCTGTCGTTAACAAACTCAGAGTTATCAGTAAACCAGTTTTCTGGACTACACCTGCATCGAGCGTCTCTCTCCACAGAAGCAGCGGCCTGTCAGCAGGAGCTCCTGTAGAGCTGAGAGGCCGACCTGTTAATATTGTTAGGTCTCCATACAAAGGTACAACTTAGGTTACATTCTTTTGAAAATATAAAGACACAAAACAACGTTGCTAATTTGACAATCACACAGGGATAAGAATCATAGTTACATAGCTAACATGGTTTCACCTACTTGAGAACTTTCTACAGGAACCTTCCTCTTCCATGTACATTTAGTCATTTGGAAGTCACTTTATCCCCCCCAAAATTAAAAGAACGCATGAAGAGCAATGACACTGGAACTGAGTGGGAATCAAACCCAGCTTTCCCACAGCAAAGGCAAGAGTTCTATCCACTGTTCTATAGATGCCCGTGATGGTATACCGTCACTACGGTTGAGAATATGCTGAGCGCCTTCAGGTAGGGTGATCCCACCAAAATATAAGACAGAACGGCATCGTAAGTCTTTCCTGCCTGCCGCCATTAGGCTCTTAAATATCAAATAACTGAGGAATTCATTGTACCCTGATATTTTAGAAATGGTATGATAAGATAGGCTATTTGTACTTGTTTTGTGTTGGGCTTCTTTTTATTCGTTTTATTCTATATTTTTATTCATTTCTGTCTTGGGTCTAGGACTCCAGTATATTTCAGCTTCTATGTCTTACTGTTCACTTAACAAATTATTTTATCTATTTATTTTTAGACTTTTTATTTTTGACAAATTGACTTTATGGATTGTGATGTCTATGTGTGAGGACTGAATGTGGTTGCTGCTACTGTAACAGATTTTAATTTCAACAAATCAAATAAAAAAGTATCTATCTAAAGTATCTAACTAAGGATGGGGATCCGTCATTTTTATTGATAATGAAACCCTTAGTGAGACTGCTTAATGATCCGATTCTTTATCGGTACCACTATCGATACTTCACTATTATTTGATGACGGGTATTTGGTAAGACCAGCCACAACGGGCATGAGAAAAATATTCAATGTGCGATAACATTGTTATATAATGAGATTACATATGACTTCCAATAAATAAATGTATATTCAAGTGTGCATATTAACTGCCTGTCCTGTGTGTGTGTGTGTGTGTGTAGAAGCCGACAGAGAGCAGACAGAGCCTGCAGCCTGATTATAAACAGTCCCCATATAATGTTGTTGTCAGTGAAAACTCAGTGTCATAGTGTCCCTGTTGATGCTGTTGTATATCTTTCCATTCATTGACCAGATGGATATTGAAGATATTTTAGGAAAGAGAGAAGCAGGACACAGGCAGGGCAGCTGATTCTGAGGTCAGCAGAGGGCTACAGGTCAGTAAGTCTGTGGCCTACAGTTTTAAGGAAATGTGGGCTGTTTTGTTTTCTTCTAACAACAGACAATTGTTGGCAGGTCTAGGCAACAAGGCAAAGCCTAAACTAAATTATTTCATGATGTTAATTATATTTGCTATATTCTGACCAACTTAACTTTCTGCATTTATTGGCTGTAATAAATTAAATAGATATATAGATGTTGCCTAAATGGGTAGGCCATACATGTGCATATACCCACAGATATACACACAGGAAAATAAAATAAAAGCAATCATACATACATGTATCCATACATATAGTTATCATTACTCCAAATCTTTTATTCCTTCCATAATCAGGTTATTAAATTCAGATAGTAACCCACTTTTTTCTTGCTTCTGATGTGCATGTAACATTACAGTAATGTTTGTTCAACAGAGGAGAAATGGAAGAGTATGTCTGTTCGCTTTTTTTCTATTAACATCTTGGCTTCTTCACTGCTTGTTGACATAAGTGTAGTTCTAATACAGCAACAAAAGTAAAGCGAGTGCAAAGATTTTGCAAGTGCAAGCTACGCGTTCCCTGAGGGCTAAGCCCCCCCCTGTCTTTCAATCCAAGTGACGTCCCTGATTACTTCACTGATAGAACTGATATTCCAAGATAAAAAAATAAAGTTTTAATAAACTTAGTTTTGCTTTGACTTTGGCTAGGCTAAACACATCTTGGACCACATCTCTGCACTGATGAACCTGATATTGTTGATAACTAAAGAATGCGTAGTTCTTAAAATGCTGGAATGTTTCTTTGACACTAACAGCAGTGCTGCCAACTATACTGAAAAAGACTAACACCGTGGAGTCTAAATACACACGTAAACACAGATTGGCCTACTTCTTCATGATTGCCATATTAAATTTCGATGTTTTGGTACATATATGAGTGTACAGTGGTGTTGTTATTATGCTTTAAAGTAATATGATATGTGATGCTTCAAAGGCAATTTCATCACCAATCAATAAGAGACATAGGTAGACAGACAGATGCCACTTCTGGTCATATTTTTGCTGTATCTCAGCCTTGCAGTGCACTCTGGTGGTAATAAGGCACATTGCTACATTTTTGTACCGAGTCAATCACAGTTTTTCCTCGATTGTTTACACACATTTTCTGAAATAATGCCTCATATTCTCAGAACTCTACACACTATGGGCAAAACCCCTCAATTCTCCTGCAAAATGAAACTTTACATTCAAAACAATGTTATTTCTTCTCAAAATGGTATTTTGTTTTCAAATGACACACACAAATCATATGAATAGACATTCATAAGAACCAGCTGAACACTGATGTGCTCAATGTAAAACACTATGATGAATGGAAAACACTTTTTCTCCATTCATCATAATGACTTAGGCCTTTTTTTTGTTCAGTGTTACACTTACTACAGACAGTACATACATAAGTGTGTTGTAAAATATTTGAGAATGTTGTTTTTATACTCCGAACACACAAATACACGGTAACAAATATATTTTATTTGTCCCACAAAAACAATGTAAGTGTACATCCCATTCCCAACCAACACAAAGTTGCACATACACTACATACAAAACACTTTTAATGTATATTTATACATATTTATCTGTACCTCTTTGGAGAGTTTCTGTGTTTGGCTGTTGTTTAGCTGCTTGTGGATGACACCAACATCTGTTTCCAACAGGCTGAGCTCCTGGCCCAGCAGGAGCAGAGACAAGGCCGTGTACAGTCCTTGTTGTGCAGGGACTGGTGAGGCTCCAGCCGGCCGTCATGTTCTTAACCAGGGCCTGGGTCTGAGGGAGATGCTGGCTGGACAATGTCACAGGCGTTGCAGGCAAACACAGACAGAAAATCCTCTGCTGTTTCTTGAAAACTGAATTTGTTTTCAGGATTCCAGGTTCAAGTAGGGCTGTGCAATTAATCAAAATTTAATCACGATTTCGATTTAGGCTTCCAATGATCATAAAAAACAAGTTAATTGAATTAAATCAGTTATTGTGCACATGCTGTTTCACAATGACATTCGTTTGGTCTTGTGATATATCTCCAGCTCATCCTTTCCTTCACAGCGGCGCCCCCGCCCCTGCCTAAAAGCCCAACTCACTCTCAGCAGCTGTGATGTTTAGCTTCAGCTCAAGCCAACACAACAGGGTTACAACTGCTACAACCAGAGGCGGAAAGAATACAAAAATAATCTACTTAAGTTAAAGTACAACTACTTTGATGAATTTTTACTTACGTACAAGTGAAGTTACTGGTATAAAAATCTACTCAAGTAAAAGTAAAAAGGAGCTCATTTACTTTTACTTTAAGTCAGTTACACTTTTAACCTAAAATTACTTACCGGTATTTATATTGGTGTGCAAAGTTTTCTAAGCAGACACATTAAAACATGTTGTGTGTTTTAATGCGTGTGTGTGTGTGTGTGTGTGTGTGTGTGTGTGTGTGTGTGTTTTGGAAAGACTGTCCGTGAATGCCGCCCACCTTACAACCAAAAGAGATAATGAGCAACAGGTGCGGATGCCAATGACAGATTGGACAGGACTCTTTTTTTTTTTAAAGTGAAGCAACGGCATTGTAAAGGAGGCAAGAGAGCAGCAGGGAAGGTCAGCCAGCTTGTTGGGCACTGAGCAGGGGGCATCAAGCAGGAGGACGGCATCTGCAAGAGACCTGTGGGGAAGTAATTGTTTGGACGGAACCGGCGCAGCAGCCAAGACAACGCATCAGCGGGCGACCGGGAGGGCAGTCGCTATAGAGGCCTGTAAGGAGACACCGGGCAGACCCAGGAGCGACCCGCGGAGAAGCTACTTTTAGACTGCTTTTGCTTCCCTCAATCTTTACCAACTTACTTCAATAATTGGAGAGAGAGGTGGATGCCGGGGAAACACTGGCACAGGGAAACCGACGGGACTGGGAGCCGGGGAACACTGGGGCCGAGGAAGCAGGGAGGCAAGGAAGGACTGTGAGGACGCCGTGAGGGAAGTCCGAGGAGGAGGGGACCGGAGGAAGAGCCCAGCCGACTGTACAGAGGACGAGGGTGAGTGAACCTGGGAAGGAAACAGACAGAGAGACAGGGTTAGTGACAGAGGT